GAGTATTGGCTCCTCTTGTGATTCACTCTTCTACAGTACATCTCATGGGCCACCATTCAAATATCAACTACGAGATTGACAATGATGCCTTCTTTACCTACTCCAAAGCTGGATATTCCTTGTGTGAGATTGCTATTGATTAGTTTGATCAAATCTTTGAACCTCATTTACATCTAGCAAATGGAATTACAGAACACAGAATGCTGGTCCTTGATGGCCACAGCTCCCATGTAAACAACATCGAATTTATTGAACATGCTCTTACAAACAATGTTCATCTCATCTGTCTTCCTGCTCATACAACGCATATCTTACAGCCCTTGGATATTGGATTGTTTTCACTATTAGGCAACTATTACAGGCAAGAGCTTGAGGACTTTCAACGCAACCATGGGCCCTTTTGGAAGATGCGCAAGGGAGACATCTATCCAATGCTTCAGAGGTTAAGAGAGAAGGCTATGACATCTACAAATGTGGTGTCTGCTTGGCGTGCTAGTGGAATGATCCCATTCAATCGACAACATGTACTTCGAAATCCAAATCTACAATTGAGTACCACTCCAGCTATTCCTCTTTCAGAAAGATATTCTGGTCTTCGTCCCTTGACAGGGAGGGATGATAGAGCTCAGGAAGTTGATCAGATCAGAAAAAAGGCAGTTGAGCTTGAGGATTTTGGTGAGGCAAGTGTTTTACTCCACCAGGCAATTGAGCTTGCAGAAAAGGTTCAAACTCAGTCAATTCTCAATAAAGCAACAATTAAACAACTGGAGTCCATACAGTCAAGTAAGCCCAACCGCCGGCAAATGAAAGGTGGACTTCTTCTTCATACAAAGGTGCTTGGTGAGTTGTATAAGAAGTCTGAAAGGGATGATCTCCAAAAGTAGGTCAAAGCTGATGTAGGAAGAATTAAGAGAAGAGCCAAGGGTAAGAGAAAGGAGGTTCCAAAGAAAAGAATTAAAGCTTCAATACCCAAGGTAGTTACCTCAGAGGTTTCTGAAAGTTCAGATGATGAATCTAGTGCTGAAGAAGAAGATGAAGCTGTAAGTATATTGTCTCATTATACTTGGTATTTTGAAAACTCTTGCGTACACTCAATAGTTACCCAAATTGAATTCTGCAACTTCCAGCTCTAGTGGCAGTCATCCCTACAGATCTACCAGGTGTTCAATCAATTATTCCATAAATAGGGGACTGGCAATGTCACCATTGGCTGAGAACTAGAATATTCTCATATAATATCACTCTACTGGATTCTAAAGGCATTTCTTTTCTAAAACCTTTCATATTTTGTAATTGTCATGACATATTATAATTCTTTACCTATGTTAAATTACAGAATCTTAAATTGAAATGTGGTTGTAGAATCTCAGTTTTTAGTGGAGTACAAAAATGCAGATAGGTGACCCATTACTGGGTGAAATACGTTAGCATCAAAGTAAGCAAAAAGGGGTGGGTTAATCAAAAAGTGAATATAGTTTCCTTTGCATATTCTCCAAAGTATTTCCATTATCAAATATTGTAAAGTATTAACAAAAAAAAAAAAAAGAACTCAGGTTAGTATCTTATTCCAAATAATATAGAATCATGAACCATCACTCACATAAATTTAGAACATAATAGATGCCCCCAGATGTGAAGTTACATCCTATAAGCAGCCATGCGCTGTGCAAAAGCTACGATTCTCAGCCCACTAGATCTATCGAAGAATTGCCAAAGACCAAAGCCTCAGTGTTTGTACCATATACAAGATCTGCCAAGGTCCATCAATTCCGAAGAAGTCCAAAGGACGTACCTTCTCTATTGATACCCCAACTCGGCAGTGGCTAGTGGCAACTGCTACAATGAGCGCTGCCAACAGAAGAATGTGACTTACTGAAGTTGCAGCGGCTTGCGGTGTGTAAGCCTGCGAATAAACCCTCCAGAAAGCATTCCATATAGAGAGTTATGCATGCCAGGTGGCTCAGAAAAAGCCCTCTCTTGATGAAGAGAAGAAAGGTCTACAACTTGCATTCGCCCAAGCCCACCAGGATTGGAGCAGAGAGGATTAGCGCCAGGTGATTTGGACTGATGAGTGTTATATCTGGCTTTCTGGTAATACTAGTTGAGTTTCGATCACCCAGCACCCTGGGGTGGAGTATCATGATAATTGCCTCATTTCCAAATTTCTCAAGAAGAATTCCATCATGGTATGGGCTGGAATTCTTCGGGAAAAACAATGTGAGCTAGTTCTCTGGGATAGGGACAATTGGAGGACAATAACTTCTAGAAGTTATGTCGACAATGTCCTTGTTAAGAATACCAGAACCCGATACCTAGGAACCACCCTAAGTAGGGTAACTCCACTCGAATCGGAATCTCTGGTCTCCAACACCCCACTCCGACTCCCTTACGGGGCCCACGCATCATCATATATATTAATCTCAGTTGCGTCCTGTGACTATATTATTACAGAATTGAAAGTGTTAGGATAACATCATATACGTCATCGCCGCCCATCCGACCGGATCCTGTTTGCAGGATATATGAGAGGGGACCTTCGGCTAGGTCTGGGAAGTGGAACAGAGTAATTCTGTCAACTACTCAGAGAGTTACTTGGCTTCAAGGATATGACACCTTTGGCATGGGCCGTAGGTAACGGGATGATTTCGCACAAAGAGATGGTATCAAATGGTAAAGGATCTCTACTAGAGACCAATACATTTACATCCACCAGAAGAGTATAGAACTCCAAAAGACACTACCAAAGAAGCCAATGAACTTCACAAAGTGTTGCAACTGGGTTTCGGAACACGTCGTAGCCATGGGGTGATTCCCAATACTACAATGGTTACTGAAACCTACTACCCAGAGAGCAACCAAGGGTTGCCGACCCAGGGATTAATTACCAATCTGGTGGAATAGCTTCCTGTGAGTTAATAGGAAGTTATCCAGAGAAAATCTATGAGTTGGGTATGGAGTTACAAAGGATCGAAGTCAGACGACATATGATGGTTGTAATGACGACCACGTTTGCAGATATAGCCGTGGATAAAACTGATTATTTTATCAATGGCGAAGACAATTGGAGCCAACTCAGTTTGACTTAAGAACTAGGCCTTAAGTCTAAAGACTCTGCTAATCAGGATATTACTATTGGGGACAGCACATTTCCTAAAAAGAAATATCGTAATTACCGAAGAGGGTGTGATGGTTTTCAGGTTCCACAGGTGTTCGCACCTTGGAAGAAAACTTGATGTCGCGAATTACGATTGAAGAAGTACATAGTTGTATGATAAATAGATGTAGTCCGCAAACACTCAGACGTGGAATATAAATATCGAAGTGCCTCCCAAGCTTTAGAAATCATCAAGCAACGGAGAAGAGACCTTAACAATATAATATTGTTTTTATGATTCTATCCTACTTTACCTATTTTACTTCACTCCTAGTAGTCATAAACGAAACCAGTAAAGTCCGAGCCTTCCTAGACAATCTCCGTCTACAAAAACGAATATCGATTGGCATAGACAACCTTGAAGTCTATCAAGTTGTCTCCACCTAACAGTCCTCACCCCAGTTCTCCAGCCCTTTTGGAATTGGGAGAGTAAGCTGGCAGGCCATCCTCTCTGGCTTATGGAGGATAGCAGTTCTACTCTTTGAGCAGCTCATACCCACCAGGTCAGGGAGGGGTACAGGATTCCCAAATTCAACCAGCCCCCATTCTCTCCCGACCTCAACCCGATCAATAATGTTTGGCCTATCTTAAAAGATATGCTAACCAAGCAACAGGTAAGGCCAGAGGGCCGGGAGGGTATGGCAGAGGCTATTAAGGAGGAATGGAAAAAGATTTCGGAGGTAGAGCTTTGAACTTTCATTGATTCCATGCCCAAACGAATAGAAGCTATTATTACGGCCTCTGGGGGTCATACTCGCTGGTAAATTTCTTTTAATTCTATTTTTTGTGTATATTTTTTAATAAATTCTAATTTTTAATATCCATTTTCTTTAATACTTCTATATTTTGAGCGAAGAGAAGTCTTTTATCTACTCCAACATCCCTTTTCGGGACTTTGACACTAACTAATTTTGCTATTTACATGGGTGATCTAGTGTTCTTGGCAACGGAACTCAGCCCTCTAGGATACCCCCTGTGTTCGCTCCGCACATCCTAGGGACTTGTACCACACACCGAGGAGGGAGGGAGGGATGGTTTGAGATCGTGGCATCCACATCAAAGCACGAGAATTTTTGAAACGTCCCAACTACACAGCCCTGAATAGCATTTTCTCGTTAGGCGGCCAACTCTAGAGCCCTGTTTGCTTCTGGAGAGTTCTGTCTAAAGCGGGTACAGTACTGTGCGGTGTCACTCAGCTGGCGCTTTAGGCAGACAACCGCTAGCACAGTATCATACTGTAGAAAAGAACGAAACCACCTTTAAATTCTCAACCCTAGCCCTTCCCAAAGCAGATTACGGTACCGGTACTACCGTTCAGTTAGCCTTCCTAACGAACTGTATATTTTACTCAATTCATTATGATACCATGACAATACTGTACCCGAGGTATCGCGTGTGTTGAGCTCTAATAACCGCCGAAACCCATCCCCCAAGAGATCCACAGGGTCGTGAGAACGAAGGTCTGTGAAGGGTACGGTATTGTGCCGTAACCCACATACTCGAGTACAGGTTCTCGCAAAGAATATTCTCTTTGATAACATGTGTGCTCTTGAGACAATAACTCAAGGGATGCCGCTTCATGCGGTGTGGCGGAGCCCCCCCCCCAACAAGCCTATCATACAATACGGGTATCCTGCAACCCACAGGCGGAGAAATTAGCGGGCCAGAGGGGAACCGCCAATGATATGGTATGTTGTGTCATCCAGTGTTTGTTAGGATAATGTTTTTCTCCCTTCTCCCCCCAACAAATGGTGTATATCCCCCGACAATGATATATCGATAAGATCCGCCAAACTTCGCCTCCTCACCCATCGGATCATCAACTTTCTCCACCACTCCTTCCGCCATGCCTATTATTTCGCCCTCTGACGGGAATATCCACCCTCAATTGACTCAGGCCCAGCCCGGCCCCTCAACTGCTGGCCAAGAGAGCAACACCTCCGGAGCCCAGGCTTCGCCTTTCCAGGGATGGGAGACCTATCCACTGATGTTAACGAATTACAACACCCTGAGTCAGAATGGGAGAGTGCTTTCGGAAAGGCTCAGTAGCGATTCTGAGAGACTATTTCGTGGCCCTACGGATGCTTCATTAGAAATATTGCAAGTTCTTGAAACCCCTGACCCGGATTGTATGCCACGAGTTACGCCTCCCCAGAACCCTTACATCCAGCTAATAGAGAATACTGGGGGTAGCGCCAGTGATCCAGCGGAAAGCCAACAGTGCTACGTTCGAGAACATATTGATGGTAAGTTGACCCATCAGATTTCACCATCACCCGCTGATTCTCCCCTACAGGACGATAGAAGATTCCATTTCAGATGCTTGTAGGTCTGCCAGACAGAGAAAAGCAGCAGTCACAAAACCTGAGTCTATCTGCGTGGAAATTGACACTTGCCAGCGCCATCACCCCAGGGAATTCATGGGCCAAGCTACCGATAACAGAGGAAATGCTCCGGAAGCTCTTGACCTTCTATAAGGTTTCCCCACACTTCCTGCGGGTTGTTCATTTTTTTGGGAGGCAAACCCGGGAACGGATATCATCCTCAGCTGCGTTCAGATGCTTGTTCACAGAGAAGGAGACAGATCCTGCAGCCCATGTCTCTGGTATTCTCTCCCCCAAACCAGCATATAAATCTCCCACTCTAACACCTCTACCACCAGAGATCTGCGTTAGAATGGTCCATGTTGAAAAGCATGGTAGAGTGGACCCAGATATCCCGAACGATGACCCTTGGTCGGTCCGCCAAATCGGGTATTATCAAAGATTTGACTACGAGGACTCCTCCTCCGTTTGTATTCACATACGGCCTCCGAAGGATGTAAATTCCCGCCTCGTTGAAGCCTTAGTCAAAGGAAGATTTAGTAAAGGATCGGATAACTTAAGCCCTATGTCGCTGCATCTTGCCTTCGTCACGACTGCTATGAAAAATTGGCAAGCTTACGTTGAATATTTGGAGTCCGAGCTTGTAAAGCATGTTAGTCCTCATGACGCCCGCCGACTAGCTCAGCACGTACACTAACAATCTTCAGAGAGAATGTGTCCTCTTGACAGACGAAGACTGGAAGGCTTCCAGGGAAGACGGGGACATCCGAGCAGGTTATTCAGACTTCCGGAAGCTGCAACGATACTTTCGTGACAAACTCCTGAATACGTTATCGATATTCGATTTAAATATGGATGTGATGGAGGGTTTGAAAATACATAATCAAAGGTTACGATCTCTCGGGCTACTTAGTCATGCAGCTTGCAACGATGCATCCGACATGCTCGAGCATAATACCTCCATGTTACGAGAACTCCGGAGGGACACGGAGACGATACTCGAGAGGACTGGAAGCGCAGCGCAGTTAGTGAGTTGGCTCCTCCCACCTCGCAAAATTATGACTGACACACCCAAGATTCAAGCACTGTTTGAAATTCGGAATGATACACTCATCCGGAGCTACACCCTAGCAACCAGCAAGCTCGTCGACATGGCAGCGGACAACTGTAAAGCCACCGCAAGCCTAGTTCAGATGGCACGAGATAGCCAGGGTGACGCCCAACTCATGGTACAGTTTGCCGGGCGAACAAAACGTGACTCTGTGACAATGAGAGTCGCAACCATGCTGGCCACACTCTACCTCCCCGGGACATTTGTCGCAGTAAGTGCTCCAATTCCCAGAGGGTTTCACAGCACACGCTGACCCACTCCTTCAGACTGTCTTTGGAATGGATTTTTTCCACTCGGACATTGAAATAGAGCATGGAAAGAAGATTTACTCGTTCTCCGTTGCGACGCAGATCTGGATATTCAGCGTGATAGTCGTGGTACTTACGGCGGTAACAGTAACGTCTTTTTGGTTATGGGAGCGGGGGCTACGGCGGAAGGACGAGGCAGTAAGGAGAGATTCAATAAAGACGGTATAGCTCCTGTTACTGGCCCTTTCCAATCACACGCTCAGTTACTAGTTCTATCCTTGCGTTCTCGCTTCTGTATATGTTAGAGCATGGAATGTATATATATAACTCCGGGCTCGCGAGCAAACTGAGTTACGGGTACAACAGGCCCTGGGTCCTCATGTGTTTTTTCGTTGATCGCACGAGAGCTTAATTTGCGCACAAGTAGCAAAGCACCCCAATATTGTCCCCTTTTAGTAAACCGGATCTAAGTTCATCAGTTTGTCCCAGCGCAAGTGCAGGGTCACCCGCCCAAACCATGCCCGCTGCACGAGCATCGCCCGTACTATGCCCTAAACCATAACTCCACACACGCACAAAACAGACCCCCCCCCCGACAAAATTCCAAGAGACCCCAACAATGATTTCTTCACGAAGTATCACTCGTGAGCTTTCGACTGCAGCGAAGCAAGTAAGCGCAACACGGATGAGCTAGCTATGAACTATATAACTCTGCCCCGCTGGAAGGATTTGCTGAGTTTTAGTGAAGGTTTTTCATGCTCGGAGGTCCTGGGTACCAGCCAAACACTGAAAATTGGACATATGATACTAAACAGGATAGGTTTCTGATTTTGATTTTTTTTGTGAATTGGTAGTAGTTTGTGTATCAGTCATAAATCTCCCAATATATAAATGGAGAAACTAATAGTTTAGCGTGATATCATAGGAAAAATAATAAAATAAGATTTGGTCCTTAGGATTGGATTTCTGTAACTCGGGTGTTCGACTGTCACGATTTGATTTTGAAAACACAATTTGAAATACCACCTTGGCAAATTTTATGTACTGTACATTATTACTACTCTTAATCTGCTACTCGCATGAGGTTATAAGTAATAATCTAAGTTAATGTTGCCTAAATATGATATCCAAATACCGGTACAATTTCAAAATCAAAGCTTGTATGGTTCAAGCATATCAAAACCTATACCAGACTTCAAATTTTCAAACTCTATAGACTTTACAACTGCAAGTATTATTGTAAAAAAAAAAAATATGTTTATGAAAGAGGAGGTGATAGAGAATAATGAACAGGTTGTTTTTTCTTTACAATAATGCAGGTAGTTGTAGAGCCTAACGTCAAATACCAGGTAATGACACAATACTGAGATATAATATAGTCTGTTAGGCAGAGACAACCTGTAAAGGCTCAGAGTTGTCTAGGCCAATCAAGATTTGTTTCTATAGATGGAAATTGTCTAGGAAGGCTTGAAATGTATACTCATTTTATTTATTACTACTAAGAGTAAAGTGAAGTAGGTAAAGTAGAATAGAATTGTAAAATAGTATTATATTGTTAAGGTCACTTCTCCGTTGCTTGATTATGTCTGAAATCTTGGGAGGCACTTCAATATTTATATTCTACATCTGAGTATTTATGGACTACATCTGTCTATTATACAACCATGTACCTCTCTGGTTATAACTTACAACGCCAGGTATTTTTCTAAGGTGTGAGCACCTGGAGACCCTAAAAATCACCATACTCTCTTTGGTAATTATGATTTTGCTAACTCGGAACTACAGTGTTCCCAATAGTAATTATCCCATCTTCAGAGATATTAGACTTATGGCCTGGTTCTCAAGTTGAACTGAGTTGGCCCCAATCGTCTCCCTTATTGATGAAATGATCAGTTTCATCTGCACGTTGTACTTGCGGAGGTAGTCATAATTTCAACCTTCCTAGGTTGCCTGGCTTTAAACCTCCATAACTCTGAATTCAACTAACAGATATCTTCTAGATAACTTCCTACTAGTTTGCTGGAAGCCATTGTACCGGATTGGCAGATAATCCCTTTGTTGGCAATCCTTGGCTACTCTGGGTAATAGGATTTTAATTGTTGTTAGTATTGAGAACTATTCCCACAACTATAATGCATTCCCAAGCCCAGTTGTAATACTCCATGAAGACCATTGGCTTCGCTGTTAGTATTCCTCAAAGTTCTAAACTCTTCTAGTTATCATAGGGTGGGTGTGAATATATTGGTTTCTTATTGAGATCCTTTGTTATTCGATACTATGTCATTGTGAAAAACTGTCCTGTTACTTACAGCCCATACCAAAGATGTCACATTCTTGAAGCCTAGTAACCCTCTGAGTAGTTGAGTAATTTACTCTGTTCTACTTTTCAAATCTAGCCGAAGGTCCCCTCTTATATATCCTGTGAACAGGATCTGGTCGGATGGACAGCAGTGACGTATACGGTATTATCCTTACACCTTCAATTCTGTGGCATTATAGTCACAGGACACAACTGAGATCGATATGTATAATGATATGCGGGCTAGTAAGGGGACCAGAGGGCAGTCTTGGAGACCAGAGCTTCCGATTCCGAGTGGGGTTACCCTACTTAGGGTGGTTCCTAGGTATCAGCTCCCAGTATTCCTAATATTATTACTCAATATACTTCACTTATACACTAAGACTTATTCAGTTCAATTTGCATTTTGTGGAATTCAATGTTCATTCATTGTGGTTTTTATCTACTTCTTTCAGAAGATAGGTAGAGAAAACCTCCCTATATACAGAAAGAAAACTTTTCTCTTCCTTCCTCAAACATACCCCATTACTTTAGTTCCCAGCCAATCAAAACCTTCAAGAAACTACATCTCTTTCTAAATCAAACTAAACCAACTAAGGGCCCTTTCAGCAAAAATGGAAGAAGTGGCTACCATTCCATTGTGAAACAGTTTGACTTGGTGAAATGGTTGCTTGAATTGTCAACCATTTTATGACAAAATTTCTCTTTGTAAATCTTCACTGCCCGTATGCTCCACTAGAAACTTTCACTCCTCCTACTCACTTTACATTATTTGCATTAATATCACTATTGTCAGCCATTGGATAGATGAGGAAATTATTTTACTAGATAAAAATTTTCACTTTGAGATTATTGAAAAAAAAAAATTTATATTCACATGACAACCATCTTGTTGCCATAGCATTGAAACAGGAAGGTTGATACAAGTGATGCCAAACGGCCGTTCCATTTCCAATTTTCAGAACAGAAGGAAACGGTCATTTGTATGAGCGAACGGAGCAGAACCATCGTATCCGCGAACAGGCCCTAACAGGACTTCATAAATCCACAAACCAGATTTTGAGCCTTACAGCACCGCAGGGAACTCTTGTAGATAATTACTTTTTCACAGATTTATTTAAATTGATAGATATATGTGTTACATATTAGCTTCAATCTTAGCCAAGTTACTTTATTTTTTCAAAAAGAGGAAATTTCCCACCGTATTGTTATTTTTTATTGGGGAGAAAAATTAAAATTCTCAATAATATTATTATCTCCACAATTATTATTTTTTTGGTTGACGCCCTTCAAACATGTTTTCCCGCTCTCAACAAAAACTTCTGAGGGTCAGGTTTGCGCAGTACAGTCTCAAATGAAATATAACCTATCCACAGGAAAGACAGCAATCATTCCTGCAAAATACACATTTAATGGGAAAAAAAGAAAACGAAACAAGCAAAGTAAGGTCGATCAAAAAACATCTTCAGAGTCCGAAGTAGCAAAGGCCATGGAGACGGGGGCAGAAATGAAAAGTGTAAAAAAAAGGCCAGACAACGGAGCTTTTAGTAACTCGAGCAAAGATGGAAGAAAGGGGAATGAGTGATATTGCGATTAGGCCAAGCCGTCGTCGTCTTCTTCTTCAATGCCTGGTTGATTCGTCAGCCATCGATACCTGAGTAGAGGCGGTTGGGGAGGAGTTGCCATACTCTTCTTGACTCTTAACAACATTGTTGTCTTCCACTTGTCCAGCTTGCTCATTTGATCGTATTGGAAGATCTTGTCGGCGAAGACTTCTGCGTCGCTGCTGTTGTCGGCTTCGAGCATATCCTGGATACCCCTATCAGTAAGATGTGTAACTAGTAGAAGCACTATACAGCACAAACATTCAAAAGCTGGAATTCCCTCGTACTCCGGAAGGTAGGATCCAGATCAACATAATTATCCAACGCCTTCGTCAAAGCAATCTTATCACGACTAGCAAGGTGACAGATCCCAGCCTTGAGGAAGTAATCCTTCATAGACCACTTCATCAAGTTACTCTCAGCACTACTCCTCGCAACCCCCTCATACTTCTCAACAGCCTTGGGATACATCCCCTCTAGTGCCGCCAAGTCCGCCATCTTCAAGAACGCCCCGTTGGCCAGGGACTCGGCGTTATCGCTCTGGAACCAGTCGCCAGCAAGCTCGTACGCTGCGACGGCCCTCGGCACGTCGCCGATCTCGTCCAGCAACTCCGCGAGGTTCTGCTGGTACGTCGCGGCTCTCCGGAAATTGCCTCTTAGCGTGAAGTGTTGGATTGCCTTCTCCAGGACACGGGCTGCGCTGCTCGGATCATCCTTTTTGTAAGCTTTGTAGGCTTCGACCAAGTTACTTGCTGCGTCATCGGGTTCATTGATTTCTTGCCGGATAGCGGCGGCTTTTTCGAGAGTTTGTCCGGCTTCTCTGCCTATTTAGTTTAATGGTGGGAGAGGGGTGGGTTAGCATTGTGTTGCTGACACGTAGGGGTATCATAGGAGGGGAACAACAGTGAAGCCCGAACCTAGTTTTTGTATACGGAAGGCGTTGGCTGCTTGGGTGTATAGGTCTGCTGCTATCTCAAGCTTATCTTGTTTTCCACCGAATAAGCTAAATCCGCCACGAGCAGATGATGCTTGTTTATCAGCCTGTGCTCACGTTAGTAACTCCCGTAATGAAGGGGGAATAAGATATCAACCTTTGCCAGAAGAGCTCTAGGATCTTGGGCCATGTTTTATTGGCGAGTTCTAAGATAGATAAATGTGAAGCTCGAGGTGAGATAGTTATGGCTGTGTCCTACGATGTTGCCGATGTCGATGGTAGGGTGGGGTTACCAAACTCTGGGCGAGTGAACACCTTTCTGCAAGTGCTTATCTAATATTAAGAGCCTCGCCCAGGTCCCAAGATCTACAGGTAAATTAATCTACTGTATGGTATTGGTACGGTACCCGAGTAGTGTTCGGTCTATTATGATACCGTATCATACTATATTTTTTTCCAACAGGTCTGTTCCCAACGTAAAAACAAAGAAAGACTCGGCATTCCCCTTTCCCCTTCCCTTCCAACCCCAACACTCCCCGACTGTCCTCAAAAAGGAAACCCTCTCCCGTTCATTTTTACCTCATCCACCTTCCAGAGAAGTTCCCTTCCTCACTTCTGGATCTCCTCACCAGCAATCCTTTGCCGAACCAAGCACTCCTTTGGTCTTCAAACTTCGTTACAATTTCCGACCCCATGGCACAGAAACAGAAGAATAATCAGGTGTTATTGAGCACACCTCTGCACGGATTGTACATTCCGGTGGGACTGATCCTCGCGGGTACAGCTATTATCGACTATAACTATATTCCCCATGCTGCGGGATTGGCTTTGCTTCTTGGTGGGCTAAAGGTCTGGCGAGGCAGTAGGTTTCCCTTTTCACCCCCGTTCACCCTGTCAATTTGGAAATTCGGAGCTCGTTTCCAATTCGCTCGTTCGTTGAAAGGCAAAATCAGCTGATTCCTTGAACCCCCAGATGCAAGAACAATCCTCAAGCCCGATCAATTCCAGGACTTTGAGCTCGTCGAGAGGACCGCGATCTCGCACAATGTCGGAATGTAAGTCAATTTCCTGATCCATAAACTCCCAGTCTTTCTGGTCGCTGACAGGAGCCCCCAGTTATCGTTTCGCCCTCCCTCGAGCAAACGACATCCTCGGTCTCCCAATCGGTCAGCATGTCTCCATCACCGCTACCATTGACGGCAAAGAAATCATCCGTTCCTATACCCCAATCTCTTCCGACCTTGACCGGGGCCACTTCTCCCTCCTCATCAAGTCTTACCCAACCGGTAACATCTCGAAGTACATCGCGAGCCTCAAGATCGGACAGACCATCCGCGCGAGGGGACCAAAGGGGCACTTTGTCTACGCTCCCAACATGGTGCGTGCGTTCGGTATGATTGCTGGTGGCACTGGTATCACACCAATGCTGCAGATTATCAAGGCCATTTTAAGAAACCCCGAGGACAAAACTCAAGTCGACCTTATATTTGCCAACGTCAATGTCGAGGATATTCTCTTGCAGGAGGACCTGGACGAGCTGGCGGCGATTCACGACAATTTCAGGGTTCACTACGTTCTCAACAACCCACCGGAGAACTGGGCCGGCGGTGTAGGATTTGTTACAGCTGACATGATTAAGGTTTGTCCTCCCCTTCTTCGCACTTTCACAAGAGGTGGGGCTAACATAATGGCAAAGGACAAATGCCCCCCGGCTGCCGCGGACGTCAAAATGCTCATTTGTGGCCCCCCGCCCATGGTCAGCGCCATGAAAAAGGCTACTAGTGCTCTTGGATACGAACCTGCCAAGCCAGTATCAAAATTAGATCACCAGGTGTTCTGTTTTTAAAAATGAAGACATGCTTTATGACCAGCTTGGCAGACGGAGTTGAACCTTTTTTTGAAGAGCTTCTGAACAGGAAAATACAGAGTATACTGATAGATTTATTAGCGATTTAGTTTGGCAGTTTATTGGATTGCTGGGCAGTTTGTCAATTTTGCTGACTGGCCGATGATTACCGCCCCTGCGCAAAGTTAGGGCGGGGGAGATGGAAGGCATAGATAGTCTAACTTGTTGCTTTTAACGTTTTAATTACTACCGGTAGGGCCCAATGGGTCCCAATGAGATGGGAGCTTTTTTTTTTTTCTTTTCTGAGCCGATTTGTGTATCACATATATACGGTACCCGCAAGGGCAAGATTCACATGTCAAAGCCTGCTTGGGGGGTGTTCGGTGACCCATCTACGCTCCGTAATCATTCTCCAGCGGGTGAACTGCAAACACGAATGCAGAATAATACTCAGGGATCAATGTTCACGACAAATCATTCGCCCACCCAAACCATATCATTCAAGCATACAGGGCATCCACCAATCAGACATGTCTCTAGAGTTTTGGTAAAACACTACCCACCCAAAGCCCCCTCAACTCTCGCCACCAAATCCACCTTTTTCCCATCAGTATCCAATCCCTTCCCCCCCAGCCACGCCTTCAACTTCGCAACCGTAAGCCTCCCAACTCCACCACCCCTCCAGGCGGCCATGACTTCATCCCCCTCCCCTCCTCCATCTTCAGCCTTAACCCTCTTCCTCGGCATGCCCTCCCCCTTGACCAGCGTGCTCCGCTTCGCAGCCGAAGCCGAAGTCCTCGCGGCCGGGATGGCGAGATTGCCCGCGAGCTTTTCCAACTCCGAGCCCCACTCCCGGCAATAAGTTCCTGCGTGCCTGTCTATAAGTTTGTATTTCGGCAGTGTGGTGTCGACTGGTTGGGCGGGCATATCTTCGTCCAGGGCAATGGCTTGTAGGATACGGTAGTGCCATTGGAGGGAGGGGTTGGAGTATTTATCCGGTATGTAGCCCTTCGGCATGTGCAGCTGTTTCACAACAGCGCGCATGCGGTCGATCAGGGAAGCGGGGGCTGGCATTTTTTATCAGCAATTACTCGACTCACTCACTCTTCGGGGGAGTAACGTGCATACCGCGAACAAGCTTAGTCTCTGGGTTCTGCCTAACGTCGTCCGCAAAAGGCAAGTGTACGAGAAAGAACCCCGGAGGAATAATCTGCACACCGTCGTCCCCGAGTTCTTCGACGCTGGGAAGAATAGCTACGATCTGTGGCGCGGCGTTCTTACGAGAGATGCACCAGGCGATGCCCACTTTCCCGTCCTTCACCAGCTTCGCGTGTAGCGCTGCGAAGACCCTCGTCGAGCCGATGTATCCGGTTTCGTCGGGGTATATGAAGTTCGCCGGCTTAACGTTCATGTCGAACCTCACGGCGGATGCAGGCTTGAAGCCGATAATCCTGATAACCGGCTCGCCAAAGTCCCTCATGGCCTTCATTTCCTCGGGGGTGAACAATATCTGCTCACCACCGAACTTGTAAGCCTTCCGGATCTCCGTCTTGTCGGCCACCTTCGCAGTCTCTTCGGCGAGCCAGGTCGTCACACCTTTCACTATCTGCGCCTTTTCGCCACCGGTGTAGACATAGTGACTCCTGGCCTTCTCCTGGCGTTTGAACAGGAGGTAGCCTTTCACACCGATTATTAGACCAGGGCCCAATTCGAGTTTGTTGGTGAAGAGAGCGCGCTTAGGTGTTGATTTCGACTTTATGCTCGAAACCATCTGCCTCAAGCGCATTTTACCGCTCACAGCAGCATGATAATCATCCTCCTCGTCTGTGGGGGAGCGGTACACGATATCATCGTAGAACTTTGAGGAGTCGAAGCCGCCTTTCGCTGGGTTGTAAATGAAGAACGGATCAATCCGGACGCCGAGGTCGTAGAGGTCCCGAGCACGAGTTACAGAGCTGTTCTTGAGCGCTTTGTCGGTGCTGTGCGGGTCGTCTTCGTCGGTTACTATGAACAGCCGACGGGATTGGAAGTTCGCAGCTTTAGTCGTGAATATTTGGTTCACAGCGAAGAAAACATTGGCCATGGAGACTTGCTCCTTGGCGGGTTTAAGGAGGGGTTCGAACTCTTCGGGGTCTAGCACGTACCGCCGCCACTGTTAACACTGACTCCAGGAACCGAGCGAGAGCTGATGATACAAACCCTCAATAAGGTTCTTCAACCCTTTAATCCCCTCCGCATCGGGAATATCCAGATCCAGCAGCAAATAGCAATGCTCATACCCTCCCCCTACCCCTCCACCTCCACCACCACCAGTATCAAACTTCGTAGCTTCGGTTCCAAACAGCAATATCCCCATCATGTCATTCGGGTTCGAAATAATCCTAGACTGCAGCACTCCATAGGCGCACCGTAATGCTGTGAGCACCGCCGAAGCAGGCGTGGAACCCTTCCTCTTTCCTTCATCTCCGTCGTCGAGCTCTTGGGGTGCCAACATTGTAGTCGAGACCTATTTCATGAGCTTATTAGCTCTCCACCGGGGGGGGGATCGTTAGAGGGTAGACTAGATCCATACATACATCGATAGCAAAGAGGATAGCATCCTTCTGGTTCGAGTATTGCTATTCCACCCACCACCATTACCCCTCATTAGCCACACACCCAACCCGGGGAGTAAATAAAATCAAACAAGATCAAACCTGAGAATCCTCCTCCTCCTCATCCTCATTCACGTCATCATCCTTCGGCGTCCATTTCCTGGTTTCCGCCATCTTCTCACAATTCCGATATCCTTGTTTGATTGCGAGCGAAGAAAAAGATGTTTGTTGAGTTTGCACGTCCCCTAAACGTTGCGGGGGGGAAGACGCGTTGTTGTCAGGACACCAGGTGACAAAGCTATCGTGCAGGTGGGAATGGGTGGCCAAGGGTACGGGATACGATATGATACGACGCCGTAGCCACTTTCCATCCCGGAAAAGCTAAAACCCCCCAAGCTCGGTAAGGTGAGATAAGGTAAAAGGCGAACCACCCCACCTCCACTACGAAAGAGGAAGAAAGAAGAAGAAAAAAATCCTGCACTCGAGCCGAACTGAGTCACTGCTACGGTCACCGGTACAAGTTTCTTGGCATGGGTCATACTCACCCGGTCAGCTCTACCGTACACTAGTTCTGCTCAAACCAATCAGAGTACCAGTATCACACCAAACAACCTAAACGTCCGGCTTGCCGCTGCGGCTATGATAACCAGGGACTGCGAGACCCTGTGGGCTGTTGGAGTGAGTGATTACCCATGATGCTGAGGTACACCCCACCCCACAGTCCCCGCTACGATACTGTACGAGTAGGTTATATATCGTAGAGGAGTCATGGCAGGACGGTACCGTACCCCGCACTCGTACGGGGGGGTCAGGCACAAAAGAAGAAAAGTGGTATCATACTGTGCGCTACGAGCCGCTGGGGCTCGTCTCGGGGTGCGACCCCTTCCACCCACCACCGCTCGACGGGAGCCTGGGGGGGTTTGTTGTTGTTGTCGTTGTTGTTAAATTTTGATATTATGATAGATGTATTGGGCTGGAGAGCCTCATCCATCAGTTGTGTTCCCTTCCCTTGGGGTTGGCCGAGGCAAGGGGAAATGGGTTATGACGCTGGGGTTTTAGTGATACACTACTGTGTTAATATACAGTAATACGATGTCACTACGAGTGTTTTATCCCCGACCCTTGTATCAGACGGTACCGGTATTTGCTCCTTACAGCTCCGCCAGGGTGGGCGGGCGTCCCACATCTTATCACACCCCGCGCAAAGCGGTGCGGAGGGAGGATGGAAGGAATGGTTTTGCTCACCAGACCATCCTTGCTTTGTTTCATTTGTTGTCCCTTTCCTGCTGCCTGATTGCCTTTGCGATAAGTTACACTGTGCTGCATCGCACTGCATCTGATACCGGCACCACACCGCAAATTAATCATCTGCTCTACCGTAAATTACTGTAACCTTCGCACCTGCCTGCTGATGCTCGTATCTAACTTGCATACGTACCTAAAATCACATTACTCGTATGATATGATATGCAGTCACCGCACAATACCTCTGACTTTCCATCAGTGATCCAGTAAAATGGGCGAATGAGCGCACCACACACAGCTTTACAACTTCCTTGCATGCTGGACTTTATGAGACGTCTTTGTTATAAATTTATAATATTATATCCTTCCCTTCCTCTCTAGGTGCGTGGATGACCATAGTACAGTACTGTACACCTCCAACCACCATAAGAATCATCATGTAAAACTACATATTATTATGTATTTTGCGGAAACAGGACCGCACTAATTGCGAAGAACTGGGGGGAGGAACGAAGATATGGGTGAGCTGATAAGCTGATAGAACAACAAAAAAATGTTACGAGGAGAATAAAAGTAGAACTAATTCATGACCTGTCAGTACGCCTAAACACCGAAACAACCCTGTTCTCTCTATGTATAAAAATTCCCATTCAGCATCGAGGCATACTACTGCACATGTACAGTAAAGCCTAATCAACGAGCCTCCGATTTATTTATTTTTGTTTCTCTCCCATCATCGTCTCCAATAACAATTCTATCGCCCTAACCAATCTGCAATGTCAGCCAGACCGATACCCAACCCCTAATTTGAGAATATCCCCATTCGGGCACCCCAGGTCTCGCCCTTGGGTGAGACGGTAATCGAATAGGGAAACGGATTGGCCTCATTGGTGGTGATCGGCGGAATGTGGTCCTTCTTCATGCTGGCTATGGTAATGATATTGAGAACAGCGGCCTGTAGCTGTGCCTCCATAGACATTCGGAGTTTGATACGCTCTATATATAGTGCATACAGGTCAGCTAAACGGTCTGAAAAAGCCCCCCCACGCTGGTAATATAACATTACGCACCAGCATCGGTCCTTGGAGAGACAACCGTAACACTCAGCACCCACTGCTCCCAGCACACTTTCTCCTCAGCTTTCGAGAACCAATTCTTCTTTGGGCGCCTCTCGTAGAACTCCACTGTGTACACTCGAATTCGGTTAACTTCACTGGGGGAGTGTAATGTTGGAAGGAAATCGTAGAATCAGTACCTACTACTTCCCCGCGTTGGGGCTTTGTTCCAACGCCTGCTGAGGCTTCTATCGATCCTATCAAAATATTTGTGCGTTGGTTGATAAGCTCATCGAGCTCAGGATCGTCTACTGCAGGCTATTTGAATGATCAGCACTATTTCCAAGTCGCGCAGCATGGCGTCTCATATCCCAGCAAGATCTCAAAACAAACACAGCAGAAACCCGTAATTGAAGATTTTCGCATACCAAAGTGAGATCGAGTAGGTCTCTGGTTTTCGGTCTGACAGTAGGGAAAAATCTGTGAAAGAAGACGGTTGAGATGACACCTATCCAAAGGACTTAAGGTTAGTTTGAAATTTTCGCAAAAGCCACACAAAATAAACTGCGGTATTGCAAAAGCAACTGATACCTTTGACAATATCCTTCACCAAAGAGCGATCGGCGAGGACATCCAGTGAGAAGACGGGCGGCCGTTCCATCCCATCGTCTTGGAGTGGGAACTCAAGTTTGGAAGGAAATCAGCCCTGGAGGGCAGGAGCGTGTCCTGGGGGTTATATGCCCCTCTAAGGGAAAGGGTATAATAAAGAAAAAACAGGATAACAAAGGTCGTGTGGATGTCTGGATGCCGGCGGTTGCCGTCGCCTTTTTCGAAAGGCTAGCTCGAAGCAAGTGCAGATTTTATTTCCCCTTCTTTTTGGCCGTGACTTGACCGTTATGTATGGCCCTTTGTGTGGACACGAGATGGGAGGGGGGAAGAGAAGGGCAATGACGAAAAAAAAAAAAAGGAGGGGCAGCGAACAGCCGGTTTCGTGCCTCTGAGGGGTACTCGTGCCAAGGTTGTGGCTAGCCGCCACAACCCCTGATTGCTCGCTGGCTCACAACCTGGGCACTCCTCCTGAGTGCCCGACAGCTCAACGTCACTTTTCAGCTCAATGTCACTTTGTGGCTTAAGATTTTTTTTTCCTTTTTTCAAAACCTTACTTGAATACTCAATATAATGTTAGAAACTTTTAATTTATATTATTTATCATACATCTATTTTCTCAACCTTGATTGTTGTTTAATACTTGTAATTATCAGCTTAGCTACTTTCTTTTTGTAGGCTTGAATAGCCCGGCGCTCTTTAACATATGCCTTCATTCCATCTAGTAATGGCTTTCGCTCTGCTCGCTCTACTCATTCTCTTGCATTTTTAGCTTTTCGTAACTGCTTTTCAGCTTTTTCAACTTCAATATCCTCTTTTCTTTTAGCTATCTGGCATGCATTTCCAACATAAATTACTCCACCTTTTTGAATCTGTCTTCTGTTCCGTGCCCTAAACCTTGCTCCCCTGGCATGTTCAGCTGCCTGAGTATGTTCTAAGTGCTCCATTGCAAGGGTTCCTGACTGTGCCTAAGCTAATCCACCTTATATGACCAGTTTAAGACGATTCTGAAAAAAAGGAGAAAGATTAGTAGCCTCGTGCTGCAATTCCTCCCCCTTCCTCTTCAAACTTGCAATAGTAAGAGGAATTGTATGTGGTGAGGAAGGTGGTGGTTGTGTTGTAGGTAATGGTAGAGAAACAACAGACTCTCATAGTTTTAAGATTACTATATCTAGATTGTATAGAATAAGTCCAGTGGTGCGAAAGGCAGATTACACAGTCGATTGCTTGAATGTTTGCTTGCGGATGGAGTCAATCATATCCAGAAACTCAACTTTATCAAACTCGCCATATCGAGTATGTGTTGCAGCTTCAACTGCCTCAGCGTGGTAATGTTTGTAGGGTTGAAATACTACGACATCTAGTGGTTGAAGGAGGTGACTAGTATGTGGGAGAAGGCAGAAGGGAATAATCCTGTGCTCATCACAGTAGTCGATAAACTGCTTTGTACAGTGCGATCCAAAGCCATCGAGGAGGAGGAGTCTATAGGTGCCAGAAAGTCTTAGTGATGAATATCTCTCAAAGTGAACCAACCACTTCATTGACAGTTCATCATTACTGTAGCCTGTATCAGATGTGCCAACTAGGTAATCATCAGGGATGGATGTGGCCATATACCATAGCTCTTGATGAATTACCCCTGGGACAATTATCAGAGGTGGAATAACATAGCCATCACCAGAAATTGTTTCACAAACTAAAATGAGCTCTCAATTTGTAGAGCTGCCAAGGTAGGATTGTTGTGTAGGATCCAGTGTAATAATCCACTGGTCTTTGCCAATTCCAATTTGGAAGCCAGTTTCATCAAAATTGTATGTATCTGAATGCTGAATAATATACTGCTCACAAACTGTCTGATACTTTTCAAACCATGCTTTTATCTCATCAGGCTGGTGCGCATTTTTGTGGTCGGCATCAATGGTACGTTGCTTGCAGATAAAATACTCGGAGTAGCGTTTAAGAAAGCGTCAGGTACATTGCTTACTAACAATTAGTGCTGGAAGAGTGCCAGAATGAGACTTTTGAAGAACCAAATTTGCACAGCCAGAAACTATTTGGAGTCATGCACTGGTTCCAACAGTATCAAGGCGGTACAGGTACTGGCATACTGCCAATTCTTGGTCCTCTGAAAGTACACAGTTTGTACCTGGCTGATCTTGCCTTGATTAATGATCTTTCTACAGACCACGGAGATGTGAAACAGGAATTTTATACGCTCGTGCAGTTGCAGCAATATTTAGTGAATGTTGTTCAGAATTTTGTAAGTTTGTAAGTACTGCCTGGATTCGTGATTCAATATGAGCATATGGTTCAACACACTGGCTGGGAAGTACAATGGATGATGAGGGAGCCATGATTGATGATGAGTTGATTCTGATGATGAAATGGTTGAATATAAACAAGCTACTTTGATATCATACTATATAATCAAGTTAAGTATACTATAAAATTAGACGTAATCTTAAGCCACAAAGTGATGTTGAGCCACAAAGTTGTGTTGAGCCACAAAGTAACATTGAGCTGAAAAGTGACGTTAAGCTGTCAGGCACTCAGGAGGAGTGCCTAGGTTGTGAGCCAGCGAGCAATCAGGCGTTGTAGTGGCTAGTTACAACCTTGGCATGAGTAGAGCATAGTTTATACTGGTACCCACTTGCAATAAAAGCATCCATGACTAAGCGGAGGTAGAGGAATGAAGGTGTAGTGATAACAACTGGATAAAACAACCTAGATATTAACTTACCCCCTCCCGTGACATGATAATACTCTCATCACGATAATTTCTATAGAAGCCAGGTTGTGCTCATGGGCTCAATGGATCAGGGACGGAAATCTTTCGCAGAATGGCGCGGGGCCACAGAGCATTTTTGCTTGGCAGAATGCGGGCATGAATGAAGATCAGGGCAAGTCTTGTGAGGTTTTGCGGGAATTACAGGGGGGCTCTGGCGATGGTTCATGTGAATCTAGGAGCATGGTGTCCATACCAGTGTCATGGGAACAGGGAGCAAAAATAAACGATAATAGGAATAATAATACTGTATTGATAACACACTCTAGCTGGAAAAGTGGGAGAAGCCACCTCTCTAGACCTCAATAGTTTATCCTGTCATGCATAGCAGTACTCAAGTACAGTCCTGTCCGGAAAGTAATGATACCCCTGTAAAATTCAGCCATGTATACCACTTCAAACCTAATGCCACAAAAATAGTTGGGAAATAAATTCAATTAAAAGATATTGTAAAATATAGATGATAAGTTTTGTTTTTATGAAATATTTGAAGTTTCTATCAGTAAAATAGTTCAATGAAGTACAAAGTTTAAATAACCTGTAAAAATGGACTAAAAAAATTATACTTGATTTGTTATTTTTTTTCTTTACAATCTATCGCAGTAATAATATAGCAATATGTCTACACTATATTTAGGTAATCAGGAATCAGGATTTATGATATAAGTCAAAATTTAATTTGCATGTAACGATCCCTCTCAGGATAGTTGGTTCTTGGCGACGGGGAACGATACTTCTCTTTCTGTTTTCTTCTTTCTTTGTCTTATGATAGCTCTAGGCCTCTGCCTAGGTTACCGATAGTACAAGACCTTTGTCTTCTATCGGGAATGCCTATCGTAAGCTTTCTCTAGCTCATCTTCGTGAAGGACTCTTCTTGGCGTAACAATAACGGTGCAATAAAGATAAAGATCATAAAGATGTTTTATATTCGTTTAATGTAATAAGTAGGAAAAGTACTTAGAATTTAATCTAATTTTATTTAAACTTATACCGCCAACACTGGCATATGACGAGCCCCCGCCGGCACAGGGATACCGCTAACCGGTATACCACTAATCCTAGGCTAACTAAGTCTACGGTCCCGCACCTGCCATCTCTGAGACATGCCCGCACGGAAACTAATTACAAAACCATCAAACAACCCAGCGCCCTCTCCAGTCCAAGTCCGTAGCCCCTCTGGTATGAAGCCAACCAGCACCAAGTGTAGCCGAAGCCGAGCAAGAGACCAACCCAACCAGGTTTCTCGTCCAACAAAAATTAAAACCACTACCACTTGGTCTGAATACCGTCTCGCGAAACCCCCACCACAATAGAAATCCAACAAACAAACTCACATATCGTACAGGCGACACAATGGCAGAGAGGAGGTGACCAACATGTCCACCTCTCGCATCCGCATGCCAGGCCGTTGACCCTATAAATCCACTTTGCCAAGTGCCTCCGAGGAGCGTAATGGTGAGGAGGACCTGTACCAGCTGCCTGTCCCCCAAAACAAACCCATAAACAAAAGAAATACGTAGAGGTGGTGACAGACCTAAAACAGTCAGTGGGGCCTATCTCCCACCCATAATGCCATGTCCCTGCCAGCCATGCCCATTGCCAAACCAAAGAAACCAAACAAACCCCACAAAGCCCAGCACGCAAGACTCAAACAAGTCCAACCAGGTGGTTACAGCCCACTATCCGCACAGGTGGCCATCAGTCAACTGGTCCATTGAGGAGCTTTGCAGCATTAGCAGCTTCGCCCAACAGCCCAAGCTAAACTGGAAACACTTAAGTAGACATCACCCAACTTGACGCATGCCCGACTGGTGCTCGCAGGTGCCTCTCCCCTCCCAATCAGCCCCCCCCAAGCTCCACACACCAGGCATCACAGAGCCCATCCAGCCTCCAAGCTCCTCAGACAGATCAACCATCCGACAGCCACAGGACAGCATATACTCAGCTCCACCAAGCAGCCACTGGTTGTGGCCGCCCAACAGAGCCCCAACCCCCAACACCATATAGCCAAGTGGGGCCCACCAGCCACAGCCGGGAGCCACAAAGGAGGCAGCACCAACACCCGAAGGCGCTGGCACCAGCCACACCGTCTGACCCAGCCAAACCGAAGTCCAACCAAGCCAGGAAAGAGTCGGCAGAGCCAGCAAAAGGCAGCCCCACAGGTCCAGCGTGAAGTCAGACCGAACAACGGGCAAGAGGTACCCCCAACCGACGCGACAAGAAGGGGGAGGGCGAACGAACAGAAGCAGACAAACAGAAGGTAGGCCCTACTTGCAATGGGTGAAGCTGCCAACCACAGACCACAACCGAACCACCCAAACGTACAGACAACGCGAGTGTCTGGCAGTAAATCGTCCCACACCACACCAGGTAGCAACAATAACTACACCAGGATGTAAGATTTTTCAGGGTCAAAGCCATCCCCGCGGGTGCGAGGAGGAGACGCCTGACTGAATCGCCGTAAATGCCACAAGGACAAAACTCTAAGGGAACGGCGATAAACAACATGGTAGGACTCTGACCGTAGAAACGTAAAGTAACAAGGCAGGGAGGGGCCGGCAAGGCCCCCTCCCTGGAGGAAGTGATGCGGCCAGTACGACGTGTTGATACTTGGGAAGGTCATCAGTCTAACCCAAGGCCGTTTTGTATCACGAGAACTAAGAACTCCATTAAAACCCAACAAGAGACGTGAGCTGGTCCAAAGAATGACACGGTGATCCCCACAAACACAGTGTTCAATCCCCCCAAACGAAGGCGAAACCTGCGAGTAGACGATAGACAGGAAGCCGTCGACATTTTACCGTAAAGGGCTCAGAAGCGACCGTGATGAGTGCTTGAAGTGCTAGCATCGTGAGATAACCAACCCAACGAAATGAGACGCAAACAAATTATCCGCCACGCAACACCTACCAGACCTCAACACCAAAGACCTCTGGAACTACTGAGCAAACTCAGATATCTCCCCCAGAATCCAAGGCATCAAGGCCCACCATGATGGTGAAAGAAGTGCTCGGAGCGAAGCGATGGCAAGGACGAGAAAAAGTACTTAGAACAAAGCATGAAGAATCTATCTTCCTCGGCCGCCTCGGCCTCCTTATATAGTATTCTTCCCACTCGTAGTCATGTGACCTAACGTGGTCACATTGGCGAAACCAAATCATAGCAAACTAGTTATGTGACCAAAGTGATCACATGCACAAAACCCATGGCCTCATAGTGAGGTCATGCACAAAAACTCATAAACCAATCATAACGCAATAAACAAGTCATATGACTCGACAGAGTCATATGCGTGAAACCAATGACCTCATAATGAGGTCATGTGCGAAACATCAATCATATGCGCAAGGCTTACCCGCAAGGCATACTCGCAAGACATACTCGCCAAGCGCAAGTCCCATGACTCATACTTGAGCCATGTACGAAAGCATCACAAATCCCACACATAATAAATCATATAACCTGAATGAGTTATATGCGTAAAACAACAACATACCTGTGACTCATAACTATGTGTCACCTGAAATCCTTTTCCATGCCAAGCCACGTTCGTGACATTAGCTCTCCTCCTCCTAAGCCTGAGTCCCATCAGGCTTTTGATCCCAGTTTCAATAGTTCCCGTCCTGCAGAGCCCATGGTCCTTCTCAGCTTGTGGAATTTTTCATCTGCTGTCCTCCATTTGACCCTTACTGATTCTAGAGTCACATTCGCTATCTCGATCGTGTGCCCCTGATTATTGTTCAGCTGTCTTAGCTCTACGATTGTTTTGTCGTTTGCCGAAATTGTGGCCTTGGCTTGGCTAAGTTGTTCTCGGAGTCCACATATCTGCCTGTGTAGGCTCCTGATGTCTGGTTCCATATCTGCTGAGGAGTTTTGGGCCCCTCCCTCCCTGGACTGCGTCCTCACGGCCCATGCCTTTCTGGCATCCTCCCCTTCTAACTCTTTCCTGCTTCCATTCTTCTGCGGGTAGAATCGCACAGATATTTTTTGTGCCCTGTGTATCCTGTACCCATTTCTGAAGCATTGTTGTCAATGCTTCAGAACGTGGTCCGAGCATGGGCCACGCTTTCGACATTCCCTCGGGAACCATCCCGAGCCTTCTTTGACGCCAAAGTGTGTTTGGCAACCGTCATTGTAGCATACCGTCCATGACATGGCGTCATGCTGTGCTTGTTGTTCCCTCTCCTTAAGTTCTTCGTCAGTTGGCCCCATGAATGAGTATTCGGAGCTAGCGGGTGTGGTTTGGCGGGGGCTATCACCCCAACCTTCGTGTTGTTGCAATGGAGCGGGAGTCTTTTCCTCGTCTATGTCTTGGTTGAACGTGATCGTCACCTGGGCTGGGCGTGCCTGGATATTGCTGGTGGAAGGTTGAGATGGCATCTTGTGCATTTTCAAAGTTGTGTGCGAAGTACCAAGTTTTATCATGTTCGGGAGAATATCCTGTCCACATGGCTCGGTATTGGAGGTGACCGTGGAAGAAGCGGGAGTCGACTATTTCGTCGAGCTTGTATTCTGGCTCTCCGTCGAGTTCGATCAGAAGCGGAGGAATAAGTGTTGGTGAAGGAAACTTATTGTCCTTGTGTAATTCGAGGAGTGAGATGTGGAATGTGTTGTGTATTCGCATTGAGGGGGGAAGGTCGAGTTTATAAGCTCGACTATCCACTTTTTCCAGTATCTGGAATGGTCATATTTTCTTGTAGTCCAATTTCTTTGATGGTTGCGTTGTATGGATATTGCGTGGTATTAGCCATACTATATCTCCTAGTTGTATGTTTGGATCTGGTCTTCGGTGCTTATCGTATTGTTCCTTCTGTCATTGTTGTGCTTGACTCAATTCGTATTGTAATGTTTCATGTAGTTTCCCCATATCGGTTTTGTCCGGTATCACATCATTAATCGTATGATATGTGGTCAGACTTTGTGGATGTTGTCCGTAATTTGCGAAGAAGGGTGTTGTGCCGATTGTTTCT